AACGACTAAGGTCTGGGCCCTTGTTTCCTAACTTTCTCTCGTCGAGGCCTCAGTTGAGGCGACCCTTAGGCTTTTTCTATCTTAGAAACAGTTTAGGGTCAGTGCCCCATTGTTTCTTTTATATACTCGCCGAGTCCCTCAGTCGAGGCGACCCCTTAGGCTTTTTCTATCTTAGAAACGTTTAGGGTCAGTGCCCCATTTTTCTTTTATACTCTCCGAGTCTCTCAGTCGAGGCGACTCCTTTTGGCTTTTTCTCGGAAACGACTAAGGGTCTGGGCCCTTGTTTCCTAACTTTTCTCGCCGAGTCCCTCAGTCGAGGCGACCCTTAGGCTTTTTCTATCTTAGAAACAGCTTAGGGTCAGTGCCCCGTTGTTTCTTTATATACTCGCCGAGTCTCTCAGTCGAGGCGACTCCTTTTGGCTTTTTCTCGGAAATGACTAAGGGTCGGGCCCTTGTTTCCTAACTTTCTCTCGCCGAGTCCCTCAGTCGAGGCGACCCTTAGGCTTTTTCTATCTTAGAAACAGTTTAGGTCAGTGCCCGTTGTTTCTTTAATATACTCGCCGAGTCTCTCAGTCGAGGCGACTCCTTTTGGCTTTTTCTCGGAACGACTAAGGTTCTGGGCCCTTGTTTCCTAACTTTTTCTCGCCGAGTCCCTCAGTCGAGGCGACCCCTTAGGCTTTTTCTATCTTAGAAACAGTTTAGGGTCAGTGCCCCGTTGTTTCTTTATATACTCGCCGAGTCTCTCAGTCGAGGCGACTCCTTTTGGCTTTTTCTCGGAAACGACTAAGGGTCTGGGCCCTTGTTTCCTAACTTTCTCTCGCCGAGCCCAGGCGGTGGTTGACAGTAATTCGTATTCTTTTATTCAAGTCGTTTAAGACCCTTGGGCCTATACATGGCCTAACCATTTCTACTGATAGAACTTCTTCAAGTGGACGACGTTCCAGATCCGGTCTACGGGCCTGCCTTCCAGAGTTTCGAGCTTGTAGGTGCTGGCCTGGACCACCGCGGTAATGCGATAGTGTCCTTCCCACTTTACCGCAAACTTTCCACCTTCCGTGGGCTGGCTTGCTTGCCGGTCTCGTAGTACGAGATTGCCGACCTGGAAGGTTCGTGGGCGAATCCTTCGATCGCGATATCTCTTTACTGCTTGTTGATACTCGACTATCCGAGCATTCGCGGCTTCTCATCTTTCTTCTAGGAAATTTTTCTCAATTCGAAGATTTTCCTCATTTTCCGTGTCGGAATAAGTGTGGACCCGGTGAGTGGGTTCGACCACTTCAATCGGGACCTTGGCTTCGAAGCCGTACGCGAGGGAGAATGGACTTTCTCCGATCGCTCGCCGCTGCGTGGTGCGATAAGCCCATAGGACTCGGTCGAGCTCATCCGCCCAATTTCCTCTTATGTCTTCCAATCTCTTTCGGATTCCGTCCACTATGGTCCGATTCACATTTTCGACCTGCCCGTTGGCCTGCGGATACGCCACGGAGACCTTGGTATGGCGGATATCGTGTCGGCGACAGAAGTCAGCAAACGCCTAGCAGTCGAACTGTCGCCCATTGTCGTTGACAATATGCCCGGGCAAGCCGAAGCGGCAAATCACCCTCTTCCATAGGAAGCGTCGGCATTGGTACTCGGTTATAGTGGTCAACGGTTCAGCCTCGACCCACTTGGTGAAGTAGTCGATAGCCACGACACAAAATTTCAGGCCCCCGGGGGCTACCGGTAATGGGCCAAATAAGTCGATTCCCCACTTAGCAAATGGGATAGCCGTGGTGACCGGTGTGTAGAAGGTAGCCGGCCGAGTGTCCTTTCTGGCGAACGCCTGACAAATGCCACATTTGGAAATCCACTCGATGCAATCTCGCATCATAGTCGGCCGATAATACCCCTGGACGACTAACTTGCGGGCGAGCGTGTGGGCGCCCTGGTGTGCGGCGCAGATGCCTCTATGAGCTTCGTCCATTATTTTCTCGGCCTCGGGCCTGAGCAAGCATCTCAACAAAGGACCTCCGAATGACCGTTTGTACAGTTGTCCATCAATAATCTCGAAAGAAGGGGCTTTTCGTCGGACCCTGGCGGCGACCCCCGGATCTTCCGGTAATTCGCCTGCTTCTTTGAATCGCCGAATGTCCTCTATCCAGAACATCTCGGGTTTTTCTTCCTGTCCCATTCCTTGCCGGTTACCTGCTGGACTTCTAATGTCGTTTCCTCGATACTCGGTCGATCCAGTTCCTCCTTCTAGCAGATCTTCACAAGGTGGTCCGGTACTCCCTCTAAGGCAATCTTAGATAATATGTCGGCTTCTACGTTATCTGCCCTGGCGATATATTCTATCTCGTAGGCTCCAAACTCCTTTAGCATCCCAACCGCCCGCTCTTTATATAAAGTCAGCCGCGGGCTCTTAGCCTCACACACGCCGGATATTTGCCCAACCACCAACCTGGAGTCAATCTTGATTCTCAGTCGCTCGACTCCTAGGGTCTTGGCGAGGCGGAGACCATTCAGCACAGCTTCGTATTCGGCTTCGTTGTTGGATGTCGGGAACAAGTAGCTTAAGGCGTAGTACAGCCGGAATCCCTCCGGGGTGATGAGCATAATTCCACCCCCGCAATGTCGTCGACTCGATGCTCCGTCCGCGTGCATTTCCCACCACTCGCCTAAATTGGTCTCAGTGGCATGCTCCTTCTCTTCTTCGCTCGCCGTGCACTCGACCAAGAAGTCGGCCAAGGCTTGACCTTTTATGGAAGGTCGGGACTGGTACTCAATCCCATACTGGGTTAATTCCACGACCCATTTCACCAGTCGGCCAGACGACGAGGGGTTTCGCAGGACACTCCCAAGCGGTTGGTCAGTCAACACTCGAACGGTGTGGGCTTGGAAGTACGGTGCTAGCATCCGCACGGTGATCACCAACGCGTATACAATCTTTTCCAGGGCGGTGTACCGTGACTCGGCGGCCTTCAGGGAGCGGCTTACGTAATAAACCGGGTGCTGAACGCGCTCCTTTTCTCGAACTAGCACCGAACTCACCGCCTTAGAGGAGGCGGCTAAGTACAAAAGTAAGGGCTCGCCGGCCTGGGGAGTAGACAATACCGGAGGTGTTGAAAGATATTGCTTCAGCTCTTCGAACGACTGCTGACACTCGGCGGTCCAAGTAAATCCTTCCTTCTTCTTCATGGCCTCGAAGAAAGGCACAGTCTTATCCGTCGCCTTGCTCAGGAAGCGGCTAAGGGCGGCCAGTCGGCTAGTCAACCGTTGCAAGTCTTTTACGGTGCTGGGAGGCTGCATGTCGATGATGGCCTGCACCTTCTCAGGGTTAGGCTCAATACCTCGCTTTGTGACCATATAGCCCAAGAATTTTCCACCCTGCACGGCAAAAGCACACTTCTTGGGATTCAGCCGGAGATTGTATCTTATCATCACTTTAAAACAGTCGGCCAGATCTTCCGCATGCTTGCTCTCTTCTTGGCTCTTGACGAGCATGTCATCGACGTATGCGGCCATCGATTTTCCCAGCAAGTGCTGGAACAGTCGGGCCACCATTCGCGTGTAAGTGGCTCCAGCATTCTTAAGCCCGAAGGGCATGACTCGATAGCAATAGACCCCATCCGGTGTTAGAAACGCGGTCTTTTCTTCGTCCGCCGAATGCATGAAGATCTGGTGGTACCCCCTGAAGGCATCCATGAAGGCTGACCCGGCGGTCTCATCAACCAACTGATTAATTCGCGGCAATGGGAACGGGTCCTTAGGGCAAGTCTTATTGAGGTCGGTATAATCGACGCACATCCGCCACGCCGGGGGTTTTGGTACAAGAACCACGGTTGCCAGCCACTCCGGGTATTTGACCTCTCGGACATGTCCGGCCGCTAGCAGCGTGCTTACCTCCTTTTTTACGAATTCTCTCCGATCGTTGGCCAGGTACCGCTTCTTTTGTGCGACTGGTCGATGCTCGGGGTCTACAGCGAGTCGATGCGATATAATGGATCGATCGACACCGGGCATGTCCTCTGGACCCCAGGCGAAAACCATCCGGTGTTCCCGGAGCACTTTTATGATTTCTCCTCTTACCTCCTGAGGGAGGCCGACTCTGATTCGGACCTGCCTGTCCGGTTGTTCAGGATCAATCTCGACTTCCTCCAGCTCAACAGCCGGCTCCGGGCGAGGTATCATTGTTTTCTTTGGGGGCCTTTCCGTGATCTCATGGACCTGCGTCTCGCGCTTGCCCATCCCTCGGCAGGCTTGCAGGTAACAATCTCGGGCGACTTTCCGATCGCAGCGCACCGTACCTATCCCATTCGGCGTACGGAATTTCAGGCAGAGGTGTTCGATTGAAATCAGAGCTCCTAGATCCTCTAAACCCGGTCGTCCGAGTATAGCGTTATGCGAGCAGGTCAAATTCACCAGGATGAATTTCATACTGAGCTTCTGTATATCGGGGTAACTGCTAAGCTCAACTGGTAGGGTGATGGATCCTTCCGCCTCCACCGAGTCCCCAGTGAAGCCGACAAGGGGAGTTTTGACGGGATTTAGCTGTTCTCGGGTCAATCCCATTTTAATGAAGGTCTCCAGGTATAGCACGTTGACGCTGTTCCCGGTATCGACCAGGATTCGGCGAACGACTACCCCCTTGATATCCATGGCTATTACCAGCGCGTCTCGATGCGGCGTCTCTTCAGCCGGTAAATCCCTATCGGTGAAAGTGATGGGCTCTCGGCACACCTTCTTGGAGTTCTCCTCGCGCCCATACACCGTCCCAACATACAGCTGTCGAGCCCAGGCCTTTCGAGTGTTTGCCGAGTCTCCACCTTCCGGCCCGCCAACTATCATGTTGATAACCGGCTTTTGGCGCCACTGGGCCTCGTCTTCTTCGGATGCCGAATTCTTGCCCAGTCCGCTCTCGGCGGCAGCGGCGGGATCCTCGTCCCCTCGATTGGCCGACCTCCACCTCCATTGATTAGGAGGCGGGGTTCCTTGCTGGATGATACCCTCCATGATCTTCTTCAGGTAAAAGCATTCTTCTGTGCTGTGGGTATAAGATTTATGGTAACGACAGTATTTAGAGATCTTACCCGTCTCCTCGCTCGTGGCACGGTCGTCAATTGGTGGAGGCGGCGGCGGGGCGACCGCTTGTATTTCATGCATCGGCCACTCGGGAGCCGGCCGGTAGGGGTGTACGGCGGGCCTGTCATAAGGTCGCCTGACTTCGGGTCGTCGGGTTACGTCCGGGCGCCTTTCCTTGGTTTCGGCTCGCGTTCTCTTTCCGCCGGCGGATCCGCCGACTTCACGTTGTCGTTTGTGTTTCATAGCCTGCTCTGTGTTGGCCCTCTTGTTTGCCATGTGAATGGCTTCCGCGTAGGTAGCCGAGCGGTTGTCCCGCAGATCTCGGTATAGCTGACCGGACCGCAAGGACTCGATGAAGAAGGTGAGTGCCGTCTGGTCCTCGACCTCCTCTATAGACTGGATTTCCTTCTGCCAGCGAGCCAGATAAGTTTTCAAGGACTCGCCTTCATCCTGATGAATGTCGCCCAGGTGTGTCAGGTCTTTTTGTGGTTTGATATTAGCGGCATAATGGCTCATGAAGCGGTCCGCTAGCTCTTCGAAGCTACGAATCGACCCTGGTGGTTGTGCCACTAGCCACCTCTGTGCCGGTCCTTTTAACATGGGCAGAAAAGCGCGACACATGACCGGGTCCCGAACTCCCAAGACCTGCATCTTGGCTTGGTAGCTTAGCAAATGCTCTCGATGATCGCCGGTCCCATCGAACGTGGCCTGCTCCGGGAACTTGAAATCACCCGGTATCTTAAAGGCCATGACCTCGTCCGAGAAGGGTAGGGCGGTTAATAACGTACGTCCTGGGGATTTGGCTTTTCCCTCCATCTGTTCTTTCAAATTTCGCACTTCTTGGACTAAGTTTGCCACTTCGACCCTCTCCCGGGTGTGGTTTCCTGTTGATTCCGTGCTCTCACCGACCTCAGACTCGGCCGGTTGGTCGTGGTTGTGGACGGGCTGCTCTACACGGCGAGTTTCAGTCCTGGTTCTTTTGGTACGGTTCTTCTCACGTGCAGTTTGCCGACCGCGAGCAGCTAACGGGGCACGACTGGGTTCCCTCCGACCCAGTCGTTCTCTTGCCGACTGTCGTCCGGCGCTCGGACCCAACCGAGAATGAATGGACTGTACCGGCTGGCTCTCGGCCTGGCGGTTCGGTTGCCGGTCATCGGGCCTATGAGACGGCTGCTGATTGCGAGTGACGGATCGTTCTCTTATTCCTCAGCTCGCCTCGGCGCATGCACGCCCAATCGCACGTAATTGCTCAGGCGTAAACTGCACCTGAGGCGGCTATTGATTCATCGGTGGTGTCGGTGGCGGTGTTGTCTCGTTTTCCCGGCTCCGGGTGTTTCTCCGATTCAATTGATTTCTCAAGTCCGCCCCCAGTCTGTTATCGTGTCGGCTCGATTGTTCCTCACTTCCTGCCATGTCAGGAGTTTTTCTTATTCGTCTGAGATTCTTCTTGTCGTTTCCAGAACTCGCCTTGCTCAGGAAGACACGCGACTCTTAGTTTCAATCCCCACAGACGGCGCCAGTGATGGTTTTTGGGTTTTCAGGCCCAAGGAGGTCCAACACAACCTTTAGCTGGAGGATACACCTTTCAATAAAATGAGTGTCTCAAAGGAAAGAAAGTGCTTGCTTAGAATCTCTTCTATTCCCTCTCCGGGTCCTCTTCTGTGTCTGTCCTCTACAAGAGTGGAGGAGCCTTTATATAGCGGCTCCTCCCCCACTGACTTGAAGGCCTTTACTAGCCGACTTCAAGACTAATTAAGTATCGAGCCGTTGGTCGCCTTTACTGAGTCGGCCAACGGCTCTATCAAGCTCGTAACAGCCGGACCAAGTCCAGCCTTTTAATGCTCTAACGGTTCCTTATTTAAGAGTCTCTTTGATGATCCCAACGGCTCCTTGAGCCGGGTCTCTCTCTGGGTTTGGGGCCTGGCCGACTCCTCGCCCTCGACCCAAGCTCCTGCTGGGCTCTTCTTAGCAATCCCGAGCTAGGTCCCCGTGCTTGGGCCTGGGCCGATTCCTGGACTCGGCCCAAGCACCCACTGGGCTTCTCCTGACACAAGCCCACCTTTCCCATCTTGGGCTCTCCTTTGGGCCAATCTTTCGTGGGCCGGGGTCCTCACCCCATCAGCAGCTTTGAAGAAAGGAGAAAAACATGATATTGTATTCTACAACAATTGTCCAGTGGAAAAAAATCATCTATATTGGTCAAGACATAGGAAAAATCCTGCGTGATCGAAATATTTGTCCAATGCAAGTGCTTTCATGGAAGGATATACAAAACACAGAAAAGCAGCGCATGTGGGAAACAGTAAAGGTATTAAGTTAATAGTGCCAAACAATCAAAATATTTCTATGCATTAGTTATTTAACATTATTTACAAATTTAATAATTGTGTGTTGATATTTAAATTAAAAGATTTATGTATTCTTACAAATTCTTATAGGAATGTTTTGATAATCCCAATATTGAATTATACCATGATGATACCCTAGAGCATATGTGTACTTTGTGGACAAATTGGAGGTAAGTTTTGAATGAAAAATTTGTGAGGCCTTGCAAAAGTAAGATTGAGACTTTAAAAAATGTTCCACCTAAAGTAAATGTTGAAGATTGGAAGTTGCCTGTCACTAACAAGTTTATGATAGAAAAGTTTCAGGTATGCTTTTATAGAAAAGATGGTTTTACATATTATAAAATTTATTTATTTTATTTAAATAATTAGTTTCATTTGAAATTCATGCAGAAGATCAATGAACAAAATACTAAGAATAGGTCTGCATTAGATATGTGAATGCATCATCGCACAGGGAATGAACCACACCGCCACATAGAGAAATCATATATGAAAATGTACTAATTAAACTATACTTGTGGTAGTTATCTATGAAGTTCTTCACCTAAAATGACTTTTTTTTTCCTCAATTTATAGGGAGGTAAAGATTCAACACCACCTGAGTTGAGAGTAATTTTCTTAAAGACAAGATGCAAAAATGAAAAACTAAATGGGACGAGAGAAAAAGCAAAATATGTAAATATCATTATTTAGTCCCTTTGCATAATATTGTTTATTTTTTATCTTGATACCTTTTCATTTACTTTTGACTATTGTAAACTTTTTATAGGATGAAATTGTGAAGACTATTATGATCAATCCATCACTTTCAAACCTTGAGGTTGTTGAAAAACATTTTAGACAGCAGCGCCATGGTCATGTATATATAGCTATGGGGGTGGAGTAAAGCGAAATAATTTTAATGACTCTAAATCTACTTATATCAAAGAGTTAGAGGCTAAGCTCCATGAGAATGATGAAGAAAACCGTGACCTTAAGAGTCACATGAATGTATTTGAAAGTAGGTTGATCCGAATAGAAAATAGAGATTTACCATCACTTGGAACTGTAACTAGTGATGACATTCAACAGGTACATAAAGTTAATTGAGACAAAAATTTAGTTGTTGCTTATTATATAAAGAAATACAGATTAACTAACTTGTGTTATTTTTGGATTTCATTGTACCAAATGACTATATTTTTATATCGTTGCAGGGTGCTTAGAACTCAAGATATTAACATTGTTTCTTTTGACTTTAGTATTAAGGTAAAATACAAATTTCTATTACTTTAACGAGTATATGTATATATATATATATATATATATATATATATATATATATATATATATATATATATATATATATATATATATATATATATATATATATATATATATATAAGTTGTGACTTTTAGAAAATTTTGTGTTAGATGACTTCTAGGGGCGTATCAAGTTATTTATTTATTTATATTTGTATTAGCATAATGTTATTACCTCCGTTTTGAATATTCTTATATTTTGCATTACAATGTAAGTAACTTCTACTGACAATGTGCTTTTGGATGATGTAAGTGTAAGAATTAAATATATCACATGCAACGTATAATATGTGATAATAGGATCGCACTAACCTCCTACCACAGTTCTTGTGTTGATGATGGTTGAATGATCTAGACTGCTGCAGAGTTTACATGAGTGTTTTATCTCTCACTTCTACTCAACTCTCTCTAGATGGTGTATGAGGTATTTAATGTGAGCAGTGAGAGGACTAGTGACCTTATATAACCACTGGTCATCATTGTGGTTGTTGTATGTTTTTAGGTCTCCTAAACCCTAACCAGACTCCAAACCATAATGGAAGTCTAGTTATTAAGTTATTAGTGTTGCACCATATATCAAATACGTACTTAATATTATCATAACTTATCTTAATGTTATAATAATGATAACAGGAAAATGTTACATTCTCCCACTTGGTGTAAATACTATAACTCAATAACAGAAAACACCAATCATAGTGATATGTTCTCATTAGCACGAGTAGTATCCATTATGATCAAATGCAAACTTCCCTTGAGCACTTAATTAGGAAACAAAACTTAATGAAACAAACCATATGTTTATTTCTAGTTCAACTGAAGTACATTTTCTCAGTAATATAAAGCAAATGAAGGTGTACACACTTAATTGAGAAAAATGTCTGAATGCCAAAGAATTTCATTGAAACTGAATGTATATATACAAATTACAAAGTGGATGAAAGTCACATTTTCTGAACCAGATCCTTGAATTTAAATGGAGGCATGCCTTTAGTCAAGGGATCTGCTAACATCAGCGCAGTATTAATGTGTTCAATGAATACAACTTTATTTTTACACGCTCCCTAATGGCTAAGAACTTGATGTCGATGTGCTTACTCCGACTCCACTTTTGTCGTTCTTAGCTAGGAAGACTGAAACTGAGTTGTCACAATAGACTTTCAACGACTTAGATATAGAGTCCATAATTCTAAGCCCAGAGATAAAATTCTTTAGCCACACACCTTGTGAAGTAGCCTCGAAACCGGAAACGAACTCGGCTTCCATGGTAGAAATAGCTATTAAGGACTGTTTAACAGTTCTCCATGAAATAGCCCCACCGGCTATGGTAAAGACGTACCTTGAAGTTGACTTTTGAGAGTCAACACAGCCAACGAAGTCCGCATAAGAATAACCGACAAAATGTAAATAGTCCGTCTGCCCAAACCCAAAAGCTGGTAACCTTTGGTTCCTTTTAGATACCTTAGAACCCTCTCTATAGCTCTCCAATGGTCTAACCCGGATTGTGCTGGTAAAGTCCGACCATTCCGACCGCAAAAGCAATGTCCGGCCTTATACAGACTTGAATATATCCAAGACATCCAACCGCTGCAGCATAAGGGATGTTCTCCATGAATTCTTTCTCCAAATCATTTTTTTGGACATTGGTCCAAACTGAATTTGTTCCCCTTAGCTATGGGAGCAACGTCAGGTGAACAATTTTGCATCTGAAATCTCTCTAAAACTTTGTTTAGGTTTCTTGAGATAAAACCAGTATACCTCAGGTCCTATCTCTGTGAATTTTAATGCCAATAACATAAGAGGAATCACCCATATCCTTCATATCAAAGTTCTTAGAAAGAAATTGTTTGACATCACGAGGCATCCATTTATCATTGGTGGCAAGTAAGATATCATCTACATATAAAACAAGAAAACAAATTTTACTCCCACTCACCTTCTGGTATATACAGTGATCTAAAGGATTTTCAACAAAACTAAATGAATAAATTACCCCATCGAACTTGATATACCATTGATGGGAAGCTTGTTTTAAACCGTATATAGATTTCTTAAGCTTATCTCACCACCCCTAGAAGAGAAACCTTCAAGTTGTTTCATATAAACCTCCTCTTCTAGATCACCATTAAGGAAAGCGGTTTTCACATCCATTTGTTGTAACTCAAGATTAAAATGTGTAACTAATGTCAGAATGATCCAAAGTGAATCTTTCTTTGATACAGGAGAAAACGTCTGCTTGTAATCGATTCCTTCCACTTGAGTAAATCCCTTGGCAACAAGTCGGGTCTTGTATCTCTCAATGTTACCTAATGAGTTTCTTTTAGTCTTAAAGACCCAGCCAATAGCCTTGGCCCGATTAGGCAACTCAACAAGATCCCAAACCACATTGTCCTTCATGGAATTCATTTCATCCTTCATGGCTTCCAACCATGAGTCAGACTGTGCACAACTTGTGGCTTGAGGGTTTAGGGTTTCAAAACGGTAAAGAATTATAAACTGAATTATTCTTTAAGTTAAGATGAAAGAGACCATCAGACAATGCACCAGTACCAACACAAGTAGAATTACAAAATAACTTGAAATAATTGGTATTAAATTCAAATGAATATCCAAAGGGTACAAGTCTCGAAACTGAAACTAAGTTCCTTGAAAAGGTAGGAACATAAAATGTCTTTCTAACGCCAGTACAAAACCATTGTTCAAAACTAATGTGCAAACTCCGACAGCTTTTACTTGTGATGCAATCTTTTTTCCAGAGAAGATGCAACACTCAGTTCTCGTCGACTGTCTCAGTTTTGTCCCTGCAAAGAGTTTACAATTTGGATTGATGAACCAGAGTCAACCCACCAAGAATTCGTACTAACTTTTGACATATTAGATTCGAAACAAACAAAAGAAGAAGAAATATTACCTTTTTGGGACATCCATTTCTTAAACCTAATACAATCCGTCTTCATGTGTCCCTTTTTTTACAAAAGAAACACTTCCGTACCTTATTAATATCTGCTTTTGGGTTAATTTCCCCTTAGCAGCCATGTTAGTAGATGCCTTAGACTTTCCACATTTCTCTTAGGCTTAGTTATGGCCACTAAAGCACTCTCCCCAAGCTCAGTCATAAGCCTTGTTTCCTCTTGAGTACACATGGTGATCAATTCATTGATAGACCATTCCTGCTTATGCGTATTATAGGAAACCTTAAATGTGATGTGATCTTGAGGAAAGATATTTAGTGCAAAATGCACCACAAAAGCATCTGGAAGAGTAATTTCCAACTTCTTTAACTGAGCCGCGATGTCCCTGACTTGCATAATGTGTTTTCACGTGCTTTGACAGTGGAAAGACGCATATGATAAACTGCATTATCAGGGTACTGGCCAAAGATTTCTTTGATCAACGAATTGTTCATCAATAGCCTTGAGAAAAGGTTTAATTTCATTAATTCCATCAACGGAACCACGACTCACTTTGGAAATTTTTGACTTAATGAGGAGCACGCCTAAGAGATTTGTTGTCTCCCATTGCTCGGATAGCGCTACATCTGCCTCAGTGCTTTCCTCAGTAATCGCGGGAGGTTTCTCGTTGCAGATAGCATAATCAAACCCTAATATTTCCAAATTCAGAAGAATAGCATCTTTCCACTAATTGTGGTTGTCATAGTTAAGGATAGGAACTTCAATAGTTATTGACTGAGTGATAGGTAGAGCTGCTATAAAGAATAATAATGAATGCTTGGTTAGTATTTTTTGAGGCACAAAAAATAGAGAGAGATACTGAAGTACATAATATTACCAATGTAAAATTATGCAAAAGATAAATTCGGATGCCATAAAAATTGCATGTGGACTAAATTTTTACGCATAATGAATCTATCAAAACTGAATGGTGGAAACGGAATGGGTACGATTTGAGTTTTTCCACCCTTAATGACAAAACTACCAAACTATATGCGATACATAATCCTTGTGGGCAAATTATGATAATAGTTTAGTATTTCATCCTAATTAACACTACAAATATAACAAAATTGCATGTGAGCTAAATTTTTCCATATTACGCAGAATTAACTACAATATTCTTGCCTTAACTTTATGTAAGTAAAACCTGATATGCAATTTTGATAAATTAAAGATGATGTGGCTACTCTATAATTGACCAAAATAAAACATAATCGCACTAGCAAGAAAGCCTAATAACAAACAGATTAAACCAAAATATGATAGACAATCCTTAGGTATACTCACAAGAAAGTTGGTCGAGACGAAGCTCAGTTAAATATTAACTCCTTAGATAGAGTAGCATCGCAAGGGGACTAGTAGCAACAAGGCCTTTAAGCCAAGGCCATAGAACTAGTATTCCTCCCAAGAAACTTTCATAATTCATGTGTAAGTAAAATCATTTGAGAGATCTAAAGAGTGTAAATTCACCTATGGATAAGGCTTTGAATATGGTAAACTATGAATCGTTTTATGTACTTTATGTGCTTTAAGATCTTTATAAGAGCACGAGTAGAGTAATAACTGAAGAGTAAGAATATGCAAAATCTAA